TTTTTTGCAAATTTTGCACATTTTTGTAACCAAATAAATACAAAACATCTCACACTCTTTGGAGTCTTCAATATAGGAAAATGCATTGCTGTTATTTTTCCAATAAATAATATATAATAACTATATTTTGCACATCTTTCCCAGGAACTCTTTTTGAGTTGTTTTTTTTTGTTTGTTTTTTCAAATAAACTATTAGTCACACAGTTTAAAATAGTCAAGTAAGCAGAGTTAAAATCTCTGCTTAGACTTCGTAGAATTTGCTCATAAAATGTAGACTGGTTAAACCTCAGAGAAAACCAGTTATTTGTCTGAGCCGGTAAAAACTGATCAGTGCGTCTCCACTTGTTTTAGCTTGTTGTGTTGGAGGTGGTACATGTCTTGAAGTTTCACCAGAAATACGTCTAGACGTCGCTGAAAACCAAATAAAACTCCCTCGAAAAACTGTGCAAAGCCCCTCAGCCAGTCCAGAGTTTGCCCACCCACAAGTAAACATTTGATTTATTTATTTATTTTTTTTGTTGCTCCATATCTCCTCTCAGATCCAGACCCAAAACATTTTTTCCGTCCCATTTTCTCAGCACCAGCCCAGCCGGCAGGAGAAGGCAGCCAAGAGTCTCGGCCGCCGGGCTTAATGATGAATTGTGCAGATAAAACCTCTGTTGTGGAGCATTTAAGCTAAATCTTAAATAAACTTTTCCCCTAATGGCGAATCCAATCGTCTCAAAGGTCTTCGGCGCGGCTCGGGTCACGCCTCTGCAGCGGGCGGAACTGGAACACTTTATCACCGCGCAAAGTGACGGGAATAATTAGTTTTCTGCGTGTGCGTGTTTTCGTGTAAGTCTGCGGCGGCGGGGAACGGGCGACCCTCAGAGATACACATGTTTATTAGATGGTGGACCTCAAAGCTGCGTTTAGTCTCATTAAAGTGTTTGATTGTGCTGCACGTTCTTCCTTGAGCGCGTCGTTCATCACACGCGCAAACAAACACGCTTGTGTTCCAGCGGCTGGCAGGTTTTTGTCCCGTCTTAGCTCTCTCAGTGTTCATTAAAAGCTTTAATTAGACTGATGGGTGTGTGTAATTACAGTCTTTAAGATGTACAGCTCCTCTGCAGGCCCACTTCCTCGCCGCCTGCTTCCAGAAGTCACTGGGAAATCATACAAGGCTTTGTGTGTATTTAGAAACATTAACCTCCCGTAAGTTCCGTCTTTGACATTTGCCATTAATATCACCCGGAAAGGAGTGACATTTATGAGGCCCGTACCGCTTGCAGCCTTTGCCGCTCTTGGATTTTTCTTTCTCTTCTTTTTTTTCCCAGTCTTGCTCTTCCTCCTCCTTCACACGCTGGCTTCTGCTTTCCTTTCTCTTAATTTAGAAACCTGTCCCTTGTCTAAGCCGCCATCTTCCCGCCCGCTCCGGCTCACTCTCTCTCCCCGCTACGTGTTGCAGATCGCTGTCACGTTCCTCCCTTCAGACCGCTGACCCACTTCCCTCCTTTTCCGCATCGTTTCCAGATTCCCGTTTCGCCAGACGATTGTCCTTCAACCATGCAACTCTCGTCCTCCTCCTGGTGCCCTCTTTTCCATATTTCTGTTACCTGAAAAGTCCTATGAATCTCTCACGATGTTGGGATTAAGAGATTCGAAAGGCTGCTTCAGACGTTATGCTCCTCGCAAAAGACTTCACACCCCTTAATTAAGACTTTGCAATGTTACAACTAAAAAAAATATTTACCTTGTTAGGGAAAAAAATCTGAAAAGTGTGGCATGATTTCGATTCCTTCCCCTTGAGTCAAGAAAGTGTCTGGGGTAAATTTTTACCAGTTTTGCTCAACAGGGATCTGATATTTTTGCTCAAACTTCCTTGCAAAAATTTCTCCAGTTCAGTCACATGTGACCTTGATCATCTGTGAAGAGCAAGGTTCCAAGTTTTGGCACAGATTCAAAGGTCTGGACTTTGACTGGACCATCCTAACAAGTTATAATCCTTTGCTCTTAGCCTTTGTGTATTTACAGTAGTTTTCCTGTTGGAAGTTGAACATCCACCTCAAGACTTTTATTAGGACTGCCCTGTTTTTAGCGCTGACCAGCTGTATGCTAAGCATGATTTTGCTCCACATAATGTTTTCCATGCAGCCAAAATCAGTCTTATTTAGGTCAGCACGCCTTTGTTAGACTGTTTGCTAAGTTCCCCCGAACTGTAAATGGGATTTCTGCTCCTTTGTTAGCTAAAGCTGCTCGAGAGGAATGCTAACTGTTGTGCTTTGTTTTGATTCTCAAACACATGACACAAAACAGTGTCACCGAAATGTCTGCCAGTTGCTGAACCCTAAATAGCCTTTTCCGGCCTTTAGCAACCATTGAGTCAAGTTGCATTCCCAGCATTCCTTAATCGGTTTCGCACCAGTCCGCTTGTGGAAGTCAACATCGGCTGCAAGGTTGAGTCAAAGTCAGTCACAACAAGAACATCTCAGTGTGTTGTACAGACGTTTTGGCTTCAGATGCACGCAGAGCTTCGTGGTTTGTGTTTGTCGTCGTCGGCTGGTTTTGCAGAGAACTCGCGCCCCGTGAGGGTCGCCTCCTCCGTGTCTTCGACATGTTTCGCGGCGAGGCGCCAGCGCCGAAATCCTGCAATGACAAACAATGTCACAGTCAGGTTCTGCTTGTGAGGAAGCCCCCACTAAGAGTGGGAAACATTAGGGTAGTAATTGAAAGGAGAGGAGCTTCGGGAGAATAAAGTGATTGCTGCAGCAGACGCCTTATTGTGTTTTTTTTTTTTTTCTTCTTCTTCTCTTACGGTGTGATGAAAGGATGATGGGGTGTCAGGAGACAAGTAGCTGCGAGTTAAGGTGGAGTTGTCTCTTGTTTTCCTCCTCGCTGCACTGAATTCACGCCTAAATTGAGCCAGTAAATCAGAATAATGTGAGACAGTGGGGTTTTTATGTAGCGATCTTGTGCTCACACAGGTGTGTAAGTTTCCCTTTCTTTCCTGAATTTGTGAATGTGGGAGCGTGAGGCGTTTGGAGGACGACACAGTGGCTCAAAAACCATAGCAGGGTGACCAATTAAGGTATTAATCAAAGATGGATGCACGCTTGAGTGTGTGTGAAAACAGGGATGTTAACATTTGGTTTGTACATTTCGGATGACATTTGTGTGCATATCAGTGACAGTTATCAATATTATCACATATTTGTAAAGCTGCATTAAAAAGAAAGTAAAATTTTGGCTTCGTCAGACCGTAATTGATTCTCCAACAGCGTTGTAAAAGATTTCAGCCAGAACTGGATGTGTTCTTTGAAAAGAAAAGACTTTAGTTTTGTAGTCCATACAAATAGAAGATAAGAGATCGCATGTAGACGGTGGACTGAATTTTGCCGTAAGCTTCTCTGGTCGGTTTTCTTGTCATTTCACTCATTTTGAAGAAACTTCCAGCCTCCATTATGTCACTAGTCCCGTATTTTTTTAAATTACTGTTGATTCTTCTCACACTACCACTTTATGCTCTGGAATTGTTTGTACCCTTCCCCTGATTAATACTTTTATACAATAAGGTCATTTTGCAGACTCTGCAAACTATTGCTTCAACTAAAGAAATGATAATCCCACTAAGACAGCTGAGCTTTATTTCCAATTAATCAAATTCAACGAGGTATGAAGCTGTACTTTAATCAAAAGGTACTTTAACAAAGTATCAGTTTAAGGGTGCATGTATTTAGTAACAGGTTGATGCACGTTTTTTCTTTTTTTTTTGTTTACATTTCTTCACCTAATAGATTTATTTTTCTGTTTAATTAAGCAAGACATTAGTCTTTGCTTCACAAAAACCTTGTATTTGAACAGAAATCCATTGTAATTTAGTGGAGATGTTAGAAATGCAGTAAACTGAAAGGTTTGGTAGAAACCGGTAAATACGCAGCGTCGTCTTACCTAAGCACCTGCTGGGAAGTCGAGCCTTATCTTGAGTTTATGTTTGTCCAGGTAATTTCAAACATTAATACTAACCATGGGAAATGTTACCTTGGTCATCACTAATAACTATAATCATACAATGCCTAAGTGAAAGTACAACCGCCTTAATGAAAACCCTGAATGAGTCCTATTGAGCTTTGAGGCTCGCTTGATCCTGAACTTTACTTTTATGAGCAAGAATGTTGACTTTTCTACATCGTTGCCCCCAACGCTCAGGGGTTGTAGAGCCAGTTGTACCACACAAGAACTGTATTTTATAAACACGTGTCAGTGGTGTATGGTAGCTTGTAGCTACCTTTCCATTACCAATGTGCGTGAAACTTTGTTGCTACTCCACAAATGTCGGAAAAAAACCCTATTGTTTCCATTAAATAAGAAGCACAAATCAAACCACACGTGAAAAAGGCAAGGAGTCATTTAAAAACATTCTGTGCCATGATTCTCCCACCACTTCCTGTTGTTTTCTTTGTCTTTTATGCCAGTAGCAACATCAGGTTGTTGATCACATGACTTGTGTGATGTGAAAAAAGTCTTTCCGTTCTGTAACCAACGGTGACATGTCAAGGTCGTGTCGCTCCGCTCTCTTCCTGCCTCACTCCCTCTTAACCCTACCAGCTTAGACGGAGAACCAGCAGTGACACAAACAAAAAAAAAAAAAAACGCATATCGGGAAGACGGGAGCAGTGACGGACTTTGCGAGTTTAACCCACATCCAGGTGGCCGCAGGAGGAGCAGACAACCAGAGGTGTTTCGATTTTATTCTGGGACCGACCTGGGAATAAAAGAGGCGGCGAAAATAAAATAACTCGAGCAAAGAGCAGGGAGAGACAGCGAGGAGGAAGCTACGACGCCGGCGCTGACCCATTTCTCCAGGCCTCAAGTGTTGTTCCTGATATAATGGAGAACGGCTAACTCGCCCGCTCGCACGCGCATGCGAAGGAGCCGAAGACGAACGGGCGCCGCCAGCAGACACCAGCGGATGAAGATGCGTGTAGACATGCACTGCTAAGGTCTGCGGACAGATAGATTCCATGCGAGCGCTTCGAGCCTTCCCTCTTACTCCGTGTGACTGCTGCAAATCTAGCATCACCTCCGCCAGCGCCGGGAAACATCCCACCGAGAGACGCTCGGGCTCGACCGTGAACCCGTTGGCCCGCTCCACGGGTTCCGTCAGCTCAACTCCGGCTATTCTTCCCCTCGGCGGCGACGAGGGGAAGTCTCAAAAGACTTCTATGCCTTTTTAAAAAAAAAAAAAATAAAATAAAAATCACTTCTCTAGAAGTCACTCTGGGATTCACTGATAAGTGTTCATTAAGTATTGATAAGTAGTCATTGAAGTATTCATTCAGTATGCATGCAGGTCCATGCAGAAGTGCACTTGACTCAGAGTTTCCAGTGGGTTTTTTGGGGGGAAGTTAACAGATAGCCACACACACACACACCCACACACACACAGAACGCCCTCGCTGCCCCGGGACGGGAGCATTGACCCAGTTGTAAGGAACATTGGTCATGACTGTCCTACATGGCCGGCACTTTACCAACGTTACACAAGGCTTATCCACCCAGTCACAGGGCCTCCTTTTAACGGCCGGCTCCCTCTTTTCTTTTGCATTAGCACTTTTAGTTTTTTTTTCTTCTTCTTCTCTCTCTGCTGCCTTTGTCCCTGTCGGCCTTTTCTTTTTGCTCCATTATGCACGTCTTTGCTCTGGCAGCCACATTAAGCCGGCATGCATTAAATTCCCAAAACGGCCAGTCAGACTTATTGCATTGATGTGGCCACGATTTGTTTTCTCGTCATTTCATTAAGCCAAGAATAGGCGAAAGTAAATCAGCCTCTGTGCTCACGCCTGCTGATCACCTTCTTTACTCTGTCTTCCTGTTCAGTGCGTGTCCGTGTATATAAATGCACATGCATGCATATTTATCTTTTGAAGGCGGCAAGCAGATTTAAAGACGCAGTGCAGAGATTGTTTGTAAATGCAGGGGCCCGCATGCATTCATCACGCATACATCAGGCCGTTGTGCTGCTGCAAACCCGATTATGAACCAGTGGATTTGTTGCTCCGACAAATACGCCATGACAGTCGTAAACATATCTGACCTCTGCCCGCATGGAACAGGTTAGCCACACATGCAGCAGAATAATTCCCAGATGGATTATCGGCATGATGCGGGGCTGTGTGCGCTTATGCAAACCGCAGCACAACAACATGCTTCGCTAGTCGGAGCTAAGTCACAAGCAACCAGGCTATCGGTTCCAGCACCATGTGTGCAAGTGTGTCACATGTGATGATCTGGAGCGTTTTCCACTCCTGTTTACACACAGACCTATGTGACAGCTTTGGGCCTAAACAGAGATAAAAACCTGGAATGTCACAGTGGCGTAACAAGGTAACATTGGTAACAAGGTCCCAGGTTTGAGTCCCAGCTTGGATTTTTTTTTTTTTTTTTTTTGCATAGTTCTCTCCAGGTATTCCAGCTTCCTCCCAAAGTCCAAAATCATGACCATTAGGTTAATTAGTTACTCCCCCCCACTCACCCACTGAACCCTGGACATGAGCACCTCCACCCCCCATGACCCTGCATGGATAAGTCGGTACTGATAACGGATGGATGGACAACATTTAGATGTTTTATTCTGAAAAACAAAGGCAACTAAATCTCTACTACTGCCACAGAAACACAGAAAATAAATTATCTATGACCGATGTTTGAGGTAAACATTATGGTCATTATCTTTTATTATCATGTTATTGTTTATTTTTAATAAATTAATTACTATTAATATTTACGTTTATCATTTTATTATGTATTGTTAAGTACTTTACTACTATTTATTATTTTCTTTTTGTATCCTTTTTTAATAATTTGGTTATTTTCAAGTGCAGATCTTCTTATTAGAATAGCTGGCTGGTTAATTAGTCAGGCTGTCTGCTAAAGTAGCAAAATTGCTGCTTGTAGTTTATTAACAATAGTAGTTTTGAACCTTAAGAAATTTTAATAAGACTATAATAAGGTTGGTGTTTCTGTAGTTTCCACACAACAAACAACCACATTTTTGTTTTTTCTTCAAAACAAAGGAAAAAAAGTAGTAGCCTTTTTTTCAGCCAGCTGACTGGCAGTGTAAAGCGACAGGTTGGAGGAGCAGTAGCGCTGCGTTCAGGGTTCCCACTCAGTCTGGAAAAATATGGCCTTTGATTTAAGTGTTTTTCCAGGTCTGGCTAAGTATGGAAAAAGAAAATAAAGTTTGAAATGAAACGTTTGCATTTCAGGACAATTTGAAGCCACCCATCCGCCCATTCCTCCATCCATCACTGCATCCAGCCATCATCTATCCATCCATCCATCTTTTCTGTCCTCCCTTCCTTCCTCTTCTTCACAGCTTGTAGTTTTCTTTAGGTTCCAAACCCAAAAGCCTCAGCAATGTGAAACGTTCCCAAAAATACATGCAGAAGAAAAGGGCAGAGAATCTAAAAACACGGACATGAACCCTGCAGCTCCCTCTGTCAGGGTGTCTGCAGGGTTCAGTCAGACCTTTTTAAGACTTAAATAAGAGAACAATTACTAAGTTAAATAGATGATTTGTGTTACCATGTTAATAACTTAAGCAAGATAGCATATCTTTGTCAGGTGTTTTCATTTAAATGCCTTCCTGCAGTGTGAAAGCTGCCTCATAGTGGTTACTAAAAGGTCCTTAAGTGCCTCTTTTAAAGCAAAACCTCAGCAGGGAAAAAAATGCATTTTTTTGGTTTTAGCAGGTAGGTCTTTACTTTAATTGCCTGAAAAATAGAAGATGCAGTAAAGCTGAATATCCCTGGACAAACTCCTTCCAAATTGGGGTGTTTGCAGCCCTGCATCCGGAGGGTTAGTAGTTTTGTCTCAGTATAAAAACACCCACATTCCTGAGCCAGATTGACACGTCGCCGAATAAAAAGAAGCCAAGTAGCTCCCTTCTGCAAACCAAAGCCAAGAAATAATTTGAAAATGTTGATGAAAGAAGCAAAGAATGAACAAATGTCCACAATTCAGATGCAACCGAATGCAATTTAAGAGCTATTATGGAAAACATGGGCCTAGTTAAAGCCTTTCTGTGGTGCTTGCATCCTGAGAATATCCAACACTTTCTCTCCCATATAATTAAAATGACTTTAGGATCCGGGACGTTTTGCGGTTCTGAATCCTTAGTTTGCTTCTGTAGCCGTGACTGACTGATATGGAGGCCCGCGATTCATGCTTGTTACTTTGAAGGGGGAAGGCGGAAGTTTTCCGGAGATTGATACGAAGTGATTGGGAGTCGGCCGCTCCTCGGGCTCACAGGAGACGCAGGAGGAGGAGGGAGCAGGCAGACAGGGGGGGTTTGGATAGGTGGACAGTGGGTGGATGATTCTAATAGAACAAGATGGATGGAAGGAGAATAACTGCTGAGAATTAAAATGTCATCGAGCACAGAGGGAAAGATCAGCCGCACGCAAGCAAAGACACTGAGATCAGTACCCCTGCTGTTTGGGTGTGTGGGGGTGGGGGGGGGGGGGGGAAGGGTCATATGAGCATGTACAAGGGGGTACATGTAGGACCCGCCGCCCACGGTTCCAGGGAACTACGTCTCCATCAGAGGAAAGGAAAAAAAATAAAAAAATACAGCGCCTTGCGTGATTTTATTTGATTTTTTTCCTCTGAATCGTCGTGTGTCCGCCTCCTGGGTCAGCATGTGACAGATCATGTGAGTTTAGCCTGTGACTCCAACACTGGCCCTGTCAGGTCCCGTCGCCTCCGGCGCGCCGCTCATGTGCAGGAGGTCGAGAGACGCAGCTTTAAAACCAAAGGACTGAACTGGAAATGATGAGCCGCAATATATCACGTCCATCAAATTGTTGTTGCTCTGCTGAATCCATCAGGACAAGAAAATCTATTTTAATTTCTATTGTTTTGTGTTTTTACCTTTCCAGTTAGCATGTTGTGTTTTGAGTTTAGCGAGTTATTATTCAGCCTTAGCAGGTCTCTTTGGGGTGTGCTGATCACAAGAATGATTTTAAAGTTTCTAATCCTGATATTTACGGTTTTTGAAAGAAGTTCAGGAATGTCTTAAGCGACGCTCCAGCTGGTGGTTCTAGTCTGCAAAGGGTTTGTTTGACAGAACTCATTGGATTTGAAAAGACTCTGGAACAATGGAGAAGGTCCAAGAAACTCATTAAAGATTAGGAAGATTATAAACTGCTGGACCACCAGTGAAACCGACATTATGTCAGCGATTATAAAAATAAATGAGACCCATGCTCCAAAACGGACATCTTCGAGTTCAACATGGACACGTTCCTCTGGAGAAAAAGCTTTAAATATCTGGATGAGATAAAGGGCGTTTTCACGCTCGATAGTCCGGTTGACTCGGTTCGATTGGGGATCAAAAATGGCAACATTTGTTACATTTTCAGCTGGTGCGGGTCACTTTCACCATTTCTCCCGCTAACACTAGACTTGCTCATCTGTTTAGGTTGTATTTACCCAGAATGCCTTGCGCTATAGTTCTCTTCCTGCTTTTCGGAGCGGTCTCCAGTCCGCTTGCGTCCACAAACCACACAAGAGTTCACTTGAACCAAACCGAGACTTCAGGTGAGGTTTACGCGCGGGGACCAGAGCCGGTCTGTTTCGGTTCAAATCAAAATTCGATTCCGCATTCACGCCTCACGTCTTAGCTTTCTATTCAAATGAACTTAGTTTGATTAAAGTGGACTAGACGAGGCTGGTGTGAATGAACCCAAAGTTTCAAACCTGAGAAATTCTGAAACAAATGTTTGGACACGGAGGTGGCAGCATCATGATGTTGGACTGTGTTCTCTTTAAGTAGAAAAGGTATTTCCCTTTTTGAACACCATTTTTGTTTTGTTTTACAGATTATATAGTTGGAAATATAATTTTTTTTTGTTTTGCTGAGAATTTTACAAGAAAGAAAAGAAAGAAGGAGGAGTGCTATGTTAATATTAAATCAGGTTTCCTAACAGGACCATCATCCCAGCCTCAGTGGGATTACATTTTCCATTTTCTTTCTAATATGATCTTCTTAACTCTGAGCTTAGTGTTATTTAAAGTCTTTGAATGCAAGCATGTTGTGCCAGAAGATTCTGGGTGGCTTCAAAATGTTCGCGCTCAAGGAGCATTTTACTAATTTAAC